GGCATGAATATTATGTGTATATATCTAATATATTATATATATTGTACAGATATATCATTATTATTTTGAAATTTGCAGTATTATTTGGTAGTTCTTTTCTGGCATTTGGGCCTAGATAAAGTTTCCCAATGTATTTATTTCTTTTTAATTTAACACTATTATAATATTAAAGAATTGTATGAATTACATGGTTTTTCTCTCATGTTTGCATACTCCTAGGAGTCATTGATTTTTGACAACAATAAAGGTATAACCAGAATGGCAAAAGAGGGGCAGCTCTATCCCCTCCCTCTTACTTCAAGCAGGGTAATTCTGTTTAGTTTTATTTGTTAATACTCCCAAGTAAGTTGTCAATTCCTGGTGCCTTTTACGTATTTATAAACAGTATGGCTCATTGTGTTCTATTGTTGGCTTTATAGTGGGTTGCATTTTATATAACCCTGCAAACCTTGGGGTAATCAATGGTTCATTTGAGTTCTATATTATGAAATGTAAAGTACTAATCATGTGTTTATGCCTAGCTTCTACATGTAAAATAGTTAAGCCTATTCTTTTGTTTTCTCTCTTTGTTAGCTTCAAAAGCAGGATATTATACCATTGGCCAAAACCTTTGGCATTCCATTGACTTTACTTATAAGAAGTAAATATAGTAAGGAATGAACAGAGAGCTCTTCCCAACTTGATGGCTATCAGTGTGGATTTTATTCCAAAGCTATCTATTGAGTTTTCTCCCTCTATAAAGAGATATATATGTTCTAGAGATTTTATTCATAACAGATTTTTTTTTTTTAGCAGTTCTTACTTTGAGTTTCAAAGTTTAGGAAATACAATATGTGCTACTCTAAAGGGTGATATTTCAGCTTTTGTATCTTTTGGGACAACATATGAGTAAAATGGTATTTCAAGTACAGCTCCCACAGAAGTTCTTTCTCACAATCATTTTATCTTTCCATGTGTTTTATTGTAATAAGTAGTAGAATAAATAAACTAAAATAGGTGGTCAGGATCCTGTTATGATGGAAGTAACTGTATATATATATTTTTATAAGTACAAAAGCAAACAAAAGAGCTGTACAAATAGTTTCAGTCATTGTTTAAAGACTAGTCTCCCAGGTTGTTGCTTGTTTGAACATCTTTGATGGAGGTGAAAATGGAAAGGGAAAACAAAGAATTACTTTGGAAATAATGGAAATTACTGGGCAAATGGAATACAATTCCAGACACTTATTAGGCTAATTTGTGTCTGGAATTGTGTTACCTTTCCCAACTCTTCATCATAGTCCAGATAATATGAGATTGATAAACTTCAAGAACTGTTAGGTACGCTAAATTTCAATGCTAGGTTAGCATATTCATTTTAGGACTACTAATAGAATTTTATTGGCTCAAACTCAAATCTAAGAAATGTCAGTTTTTGCAAATATGGACCACACTCTACATACATATATTGTAGGCATGTGTGCTGCGATTTTAATTCTTCCTGTTACCCCTTTGATCATGTTTTTCTTTTTTAGTAAACTTAGATTCAGCAAACTTAGATTTAGCATCTTCCCTAAATCAGAGATAAAGGCAGTCTTTTTCTAATTAATGAATCAGAATCATTTGAAACCTATTTGCCATCCATGATTGATTATAAATTTCTTGATGGAAGGAAAATAAGGCAATTGGTTTTGCAATCAGATGATCTCCTTTGAGCTATGACTCCCAAGACAATTGGTTATGATTTTCCTAACTTACCTGACTATTTAGTAATTAAGGCAGAATAAAAGAGGTTACCTGACTCTCAGTTCAAAATTCTTTTCATTAGTTTACACAGATGAAAAAAGGTTTTGAGACCTTAGGAAGAAATGTGCTTTAGGTATCTGATAAGTTACAGCTTTGTCTTATATTCAGTGTATATTCACCCATACTCTTAGTTATAGGTGGTTTCTTTTGGCATATAGTAATTGCATTTTTCATGATTTGATCCACTCACAATTATAATTATATTCTAAGTAAGACACACACAACAGAAGGTTGTTTAAAAGAATATTTCTCTGGAAAGAAAGTAGTATAATATTCCACTTTTATTTTGAGAAAAACATGAAATAATGACATTCGTGGCTGTGATTTTTTTTTTAATTTTAGGTTAATTACACCAGAAAAATATTTCTATGTTGTATCCAATATTTTTGGTTTTGATATATTTTTTCTTTTTTAAAAGATTTATTGAAGTAACATTAGTTTATAACATTGTATAAGTCTCAAGTAATAAATAAATCAACCTTATATAACTATAAATAAAGCAACTTTATATACTACATGATATTTGCTACTAAAAGGCAAATTTCTGTCCTGAACATTACAGTTGACCCTTTTACAAAAACATTCATCCATTTTCCTTCTGGTAATCATTACTTTTTTCTATTTTCTAAAAGTTTGTTCATTAGGATTGTTTATCTTTCACATATATCAGAGAAAGACAATATTTAGAAAATTGATAATTTCAACAAAAATTATCAAAAAACTGCAAAACTGAATTCAATTGAAAAAATGTATTCCTAATATTTGTCAAATTTACCCATTTAAATGAGTACAGGGTAGATAATAATTTTCCCATTTCGAGTTCAGTGTTGTTTTCACTTAATAAACAGTGAAGCTCTTTATCTCATTGCAGTATTTAGGAGGGATGAAAAGTACAATACACAGATTTATTAACTTGTAATGACTTAGTTTCTCATTGATCAGTCTTTAGTCAATTAATATTTGATTCCCCCCGCCCCCACACTTTACCTCATCTGGTTAATGGAAAGGTCATTATTTATAGGAAATTCTGAATGAAAACAGTGTTGTTTAGTACATGTACTTAGGTGGGATATTTTAAATCTTATTTTAGAAGTAATGGCATCATGCTGATAAACTTCAAGTTTTCTTTGTTCCTTTTCTCCTTTTACTTATCTGTGAAACTCTAAGAATAAATGAGAAAAATGCCCCAAACTCTCTTTAGGAAGGAACTTAGACATGGTCTTAAATATATGAATATATTTCATGTATTTGTAATTGCTAAATCGTTCCAAATAAACATTAAGAGTTTTTCTATCAGTCTTTGATTTTATGTGAAGAAAAAGTACCGGTTTGCTTTTTCTACAGACTTCATTATACAAATAATACTTTAAATATCAACAAAGAAATTTAACAAATCTGCCAATTATCTCAGTATTAGGAAACATGTATTGAGAGCTTATTAGATGCAGGCCAAACTATTAAACTCATCATTGTCTTTTGGGACTGTAACTCTAATTGGGATATATCTCAATTTATTATAGATAATTAAGTAGAAATTAAATCACTATTAATTTAAGACACACAAAGGCCCTTTTCACATTTGTAAAATGAAAGAAATAATATTAATCCACCTGACAAATAAATGTTGAGAATCAGTTACATTATGCATTGGATAATTAGTGAAGGAAAAGTAACAATCAAAATATAACAAAAGTTCACTTTTATTTCCCTTATTTTACTTAACTAATTAACCTTGATATTTTTGCTAATAGTCATTCTTTTTTTAATTTTTAAAGTGCAGAAATTGATAAAATAGACTTAAATTTTGTGACTTTTCTAGAGAAATCATTATGAGAATTATATGAGTTGTTTTGAGTATACATATATACACATACATTTAAGTGTACAGCTTAGATTGATTCTATCATATTAATGTAAAGCACATACAATTATCTTAAATGTGATTATATAACTGTAGAATGCCTAAAGTTTATAAAATATGTCTCTATGGATGTCAAAGTATGATCAAATATATTTATATAGATATGAACACACATCGACATAAATTGATTTTATGGTTCTTTATGATTGGAATTCCAGTTCTTATACCTACTACAACATCTATTGGAAAAGTGCCCAGTTAAACAGATGGCGCTTATGTTGTACTCTCAGACTAGGTAGTATTCACCTTTATTTGGTAAAACATTGGGTGAAAGTAGACCATGTTGTATTATTGTACTTCTGAGCATAACTTGAGTGAAAAACTATGATTCATTATTGGTGTTTGTTGTTGGAAACACATTTTCCTTTGTGAATTAATATGTGAAAATTGAAGGACAGCAGATGGAGTTTCAGGGATCTGGAAAACCGATAGGTAGGGAAGTAGTTCTCAGTCAAATATAAAAATGAAAAATCAGCATGGGTGTGAAATGCCATGTGGTTTTATAAATGAATAAATGTATCTAAGACTGTAGAAAATATTTGGGTTAGCCAAGAGACAAGGGTTGATCATGAAATTTTCCTAATTACTAAGGAGTATGAAACCACAATAAAATTCACATCTCTTACTATATCTTTAACAAATCTCCACTTAAAAAGTTATACAGTTTGATTTTAAGTTGGATAAAGTCCTAGTTATCATCCACAGAATGGAGAATTTAGTAACTGAGGTGTTAGGGTGGCAGAAGATTTTGTACTATCAAATGTACTACCAGAATTTTGTTTTTGACTGCTAATAACATTCCACTCAGTTCATGTTTGTGACAAAAGCACTGTAAAGAAGGAAAAAGCATTAATTAGAAAGCTCTGTTTGAAGGATTAGTTTATACTGCAGTGTTTTGAAATAGGTATACTTGGTGGAGTTTAATTCAGTTAAAATCATCATTAAATAGTCTTTTTGTATTGTCTTTTGAGATACTGTTCTAGCTGTAATTGATAAGACAGAGTACCAAAAGATAAATTTGGAAACAAAATGGAAAATAAAAGAATCACAGTATATACTTCATTTTATTAGAAAGACATTCATTGTGAAATATTTATTTGAAGAAAAAAAAAGATTAAAAATGTGAAATATTTTCATTTACATATCACCAGAGAGTAATAAAGACTGTCTTTATATGAAACTAAATTGTGTATGTGTGAAAGAAATGATCATTACCAGCTTTATCTTGAACTTTACTGGCATATTATATTTTTAATATATTATTTAATTTTTTGTTTTGTTTTGTTTTAAACAGCAAATGCCAGTCTTCTTGGAGGAGGAGGTGGTAAGTCCTAAATATTAATTAAAATATATATTAAAAAGTTAAAACAAGATGCTTAATAAATTTGAATGACTTCAAAGAAAATGCATTAACTAAAGTTACCAATAACAAAAATGATAATCTAGAAAATATAATAGAAATGCTTGGCTTTGACTGATGTTATTTTAACTGATTTCATCATATGTGGGATATATCAAACTTTGTAATTGTACCTTTGTTCATAAGCTAGAACAGTTGTAAACAATCAAGAAGAACACACATATAGCCCTTTATTTTTCAGTTTGGCCTGTTGAAGGTAAAAGAGAAAGAAACTGAAGTAAGATGATGAGAGTAAGATGATGAAGAGAGTAATTCCTATACTGGGATTAATTTTGATACTAAAATCTTGTAATCATGTATGATTTTTATTTTCTAAATTGAGGGGTGAATGCTTCCCTATCCCTTATCTATATAACATAGTAGGGAAGAAAAGAAGTATTCAGTAGATAGGTGCCTTTTCAGTTAAGATCCAGATGGACATAAACAGTTAGTTTTTTTCTATCCCTTTTGTAATTGCTCCCTCTTATGAAGTATGCGATAAAAATTTAGGTTTTAAAAAAATCTTGAAGGGAAAATTAAAAAACAAAATTATGTGGATATAAATTTTTCATCAGGAGATTTTAGTGAAAATTTGAATATTAGTGAATTTTAGTGAAATTTGAATATTAAAATTTTAAATATTTTCTTCATATTAAAATAGATTTGGAAAAAAACAAAATCATAAAAGAAGGAGTAACTGAGGAGAGTTTAAACTAGAGAGTGGTCATAGTATTACATATCACTGTGTGTTCTGTAGCAAACTTTCATTTTTTGTTTTTCATAAATAGCTGTAGAGAGTATAAATTTACAGGATTCATTGTGTTTTTAAAATATTTATAGGAATTAGAAGTGAAAGAAGCTGTAGTCCAGTAATTTTTTTTCAGTAGGTTTCTTATGTTAAGAAAACATTATTAAAATAAATTGTCCATGTGGCTGATTTTGTTATGATTATTAGTATTTTAACAAATTTGATAAATAGGATAAAGGAAAGTTAAGAATGAGTCTTCATAAAGAAATCCATCAAATTAAAGCAACAACAAATTAGATAGTTAATTTATTGTTCTTACCTGTATTTTAAAACTACTTTGACTAATTGAATTTGTTAAACTCACTTTAACTGCTATCACAGAAAAAAACCAAAAGATAGAAAATTCCCATCTCATGTAAACGTAGTCTAGATGTACACTAGTATGGTTTTGCGTTGGTTCCATGGTGTCATGAGGATTTCAAGCTCTTCATTTTCTGTTCTCCAACTAGTACAGAGTTTTCAGAGTTCACGTTGGCTGCTGGAGCTCTATAAATCACAGAAGAGGGAGTGTGGAGGAATAAGAAAGGGCAAAAAGGAACCTTCCAAAGATGAGTTGGTTTTCGTAACAAGCTTACCCCTAGTCCACATTATCCTTCATTTTTATTTATTTATTTATTTTTTGACAGGAGTAGTTTTATTCTAGCAAGCAATATGCTCTTCATTTTCTAAGGATAAAGGTGAGAATGGAAGTTTTGGTAAATGATGAGTAGTCCTTGCCACAGTGGCAGCCTTGTCAGGTACTTTGTCTAAATAAGTGTATACATAGCTGGTTTTTATAAAATTAAGTCAGTCAAGTGACTTAACCTGAACTTCCTTGTGGAAGTATGAGCGTATACAAAATAAAATTGAAGCAATAGCAAGATATTCAGGAGTAGGCTTGCTCAGTTTTCTGTTTACCTGAGTTTTTACTTTACTGTCCTCTTCTAGATGGTTGATTTTGTTAAATGCAGTTATTAGCCATAATTTCTAATTCCTGGATTCTAAAATTAGCAACTCATAATAATCATGGAGATAAATTACAAGTATTTAAAATGGCTGTGATTTATTTCATTAAAGTAGGTCATTGACAGGCTTAGATTCATTTATGCAGTTTTGGAGATGACAAGATTGCGCTAAAATACATGTCTGATTTTGGGAAAGCTGCACTTAAAATGAAACTTAGGGAATATTTTTAGCTTTCTCTGAAATGAGTTTTTTTGCTTTTTGGTTTTATGGCAAATCTTTATAATCCTGTCAGAATATTTGTGAAGTAATAATTAGTCGCCATGAAATGAGGAACAGTTGAATTCATACAGTCCTCTTGGAATTAATCAGTAATTCCTTTTATTGACTTGAGTTAGTATTCCACCAAAAGTACCTAAATGGAGAAATTAATTGACTATGTATTTAATCATGAATATTAGATACCACATACAAATAATAATAACACACCAAATACCATTTTTTTCATAAATCCATAATTATGTCCCTCAAATTCTAAGTAGTACTTGATTAAGATCTTTACAGTATCAATGTGTATAAAAGTTTATTATCCATAAAATCTTAATATTTACTTATTATTTTTGAGTGTTTGTATCCAAGAAGAGAGATCTCCTAAAAGGAGATTTAAAAAATATCACAGATCATTCTCTCAGTTCTTATTTTAAAGTGAGAGAGTCACTTTAAATTAGTGTGAAATTTTATCTGTGGACCAAAGGTTAATCTTTCTAGGAACTTAGTATCACTCATAACAGTTTTTTTTTGAAGATGTATTTATTTATGCATACAGAACTGGGGTACAGGCCAGAGGTGCAGGGGCGGTGAGAGGCTTCAGCAGAGACAGAGTGGGGAGCAGAACAGGCAGATCGACAGAGTATGCTGCGGAGGGGAGGATCTGGTGAGACAGGAGAGGTCTGCTGCGCCATGTGGGTCACCTCTGGGGTCTGGGGTCAAACTCACACGGAAGTGGCTGCAGCTAGCTTGCAGTAATGTGTCCTAACCTGTTGTGCCACCAGGGAGGTCCCCATAACAGTTCATTATAATGAATGTAGGTGATAAGGTCCTGACTACCTATTTCATCTGAAAACCTTGATAAATTTCCTATTTGTCTATATTTCCTAGATATGTTAAAGTCAGAATCATGTAAAATATGTGACTGTTTTGTATTGACTGTATTATACTTTCCTTTGAAGTTATATCAAAATTTTTATGAACTTCCCATTTTGTTACCAATACTACCCTGTGTAGCCAGCTGTATAGTGCAGTGACATAAAACAAGTAAATTTTATTTTCTCATTTAGTCCTTTCATTACTTAGGTTCAGTTATACTATGCAGAAGTAGTAAACCTTAAAATCTTTGTGGCTTCATAAAACAAGGTTTATGTCTTGCTGACACCATAGTGTGAGTAGGTTTGGTAGCTGACCTAGAGATGTTGACAAAGAGACTCAGGCTTCTTCCATGTCTAACAGCTATCTGATTAGTGACTGCTTTGGATGTCACAGAACAAGAAGAGAGGCTAAGGAACCTTGTGGAATGTATTTATAGCCTAGTTTTAGAATGATTTATACCACTTCTCAGGTTTCAGTTGTCAGAATTAAGACAAATGACACTAAACTAACTAAAAGGCACCCTGGGAGAAATGGAGTCTTCCAGAATTCCCATGAAGGGGAAGTTGTATGGCAAACAGTCTTAGTGTTCAAATGACAACAGTGTTGCTGTTGTTTTATTATTAAAAGTGGGGTATTTGGTGACTTCATCAAGATTGCACAGACTTGTAAGGGATAAAGTTTGGATGAGAAGATTTATGTCTTTTTCCTTAAGGTTTCCTTTTTCTGTGCACAAGTAGGTACCTGTTTATACCAGGCAAAATGAATGAGAAGACAGGTAAACAGGAAGCTGAACTAGATATGAATGATGTTTTCCTTGGCTATTTTCCCAAGTCTCAAGATCAATTGATAATTTGAAAATATATGCAATGTCATTATGTTGTGGTACCTTTTGATTGTTGTCTAAATTCATATATATTTTTATTGTTTTGAGTTTCAGTCTTAGAGCACATTTTATTTTTTATGCATTGCATCTTAAATACATATTCACTCATTTGTCTAAGAATGTTTTTCATACACAATGTCCAATGTTGTATTTTTGGAATATTTAAAAAAAGTCTTTGCAGCCAGTCAAATTATATTAAGAAGCAAAATTAGACAGAAAAATCAGAATTAAAGAGCTAATTTGTTAATTCCATTCAGATCATTACATAAATGACTGGAACAAGATCTTTTACTTTAGGTAATGTCTTTTTCCTTTCATTGTCATGATAATTAACATAAGACCCGATTTTGCAGATAAAACCCAAACAGGACATTGTTTATGTATTTGCTTTTCTTCTAGTCTGTCTCTGTCAAAGCTCCTGAGTGTTGAAGTCTGAGGCATCATGTTAGTTACTTAAATGATATTTCCTAACCTAGTGATATTTTAAGGTTCATTTTGTCTACACATACCTCTGTAGGATTGCTGTTTTAATGTACATATAAACACATACATGTGTATACATACACAGATACCATCTATACATATATGCATAAATTAGATATTTAACATATAGCTGTATGAATTATAATTCCTTACTTTATCATTGAAGAAATTCTATAGCAGGTTAATTTTAAAAACACTAAATGTAAGCTACCACCACTGAATCAATAACTTAGTCCTAAGTGGAACACGTGGGAAAGTGGAAGAGTTGTTTTTCTAGAATAAGATAGCTGTATTATGGCCTTCCTTACCTCCTAAAGCATTTTGGACTTCTTGAGACAATTAAAGTGGGCCCAAAGAATAATATTCCCTGTCTGCACAGTTCTGCTTATAGAGAGAATCCCTAATGCTTTTTTTGTTACTAATGTCCAGTTGTTTGTTAAAGAGTTTGTGGAAAGTGCCAAACATATGCTTAAAGAATTGTAAAACCGTGAAATAAATTGGCCTCTTGCAAAAGATACCACCATTTATTTCCACCCATTCTTTTATTTTACATACACATATATGTATATGGTCATTCTTTCAATAAATGTTAGCACAGAAACTACATCATGTTTGTTGATATTAATTCTTGAGTTGACAGTAAGCACAATGGTTTCCCTATGA